TTAAGATTTTATCGCAGCAGCACAAGAGCGACTCTACCACTAGCGCAAGAGTATACAAAACACAATATGACGGTGTGATAAGAAGTTCGTAGTTGAAACAGTAAGACCTCAGTCTTCACAATCGTGGGAGCGCCTGTGTCCAGGGAAGAAAAATGGTATATTATTATTATTATAATCAAAAAGAAGCGCTAAGCCACAAGGGCTATACAGCGCTGCAGGGTAGGGAAGGAAGCGAGGGTATTGGATGGCAGAAGGGAGGAGGGATGATCAGTAGGTTACAGAAAACAGCGGGGCAGGGGATAGTACGGGGGTAGGGGGTAGCAAGAGATTGAAGTAGAAAGAAAAATGGTATAAAACACCGAGACGATGGAAAGAAACAAATGCAGCATAATGTGATCCTTTACTGACAACCTGTCGCCCCCAGAGTAGACCTTTGTGATCAAGTCACAAACAGATGAAGTGTTGGACACTTTTTGATATGGCAATAGGTCAAGTTAGTCATTTGTTAAAATGATTTACACAGGCTTTAATTGGTATTACTAACACCGTCACACGGAGGTCCAGTATATCTCGACTCATGGCAAGCAAGATATTGCCCATACTAGGGATGATGAGTAAGACACGTACAACAGTTGGGTATCTTTATTATTGAAACGTTTCGTCTATGCGGTAGGCTTCATCAGTCAAATAGAGTGGAGTATGTAATGTAGGCAGCAGTAGTAGTGGCAAGGTAATGATGATGTAGTCAGGAGAAATAGTTTGAGGTGGTCAATCCATCAGCATGGAGATGAATTCAGTTCTATTATCTAGAACAATATGAAGCTTAACCATGAGAATGGAGTGTTAAACATTACTGTCGGGTCCACTAGTAGAAGCAAGAAAGCAAGAACTGAGGAGCACTCCCTAGCATGGGCCAATAGGCTTAATCTTAGAATATTCACACCATAACACTCGCACTATAAGAGGTGTCCTTGCTGATTTCTTCTTGAGGCCAATTCGCATCTCCATCTCTTGATTCCTTGAAAAGGAATGTAACTACGTAACACAAGCCTTCACTCATCTTCAATTTCCGTCTTTCTTCATCTGGGACTGAAGGGTTAATGGACATGCTATCCTCAACAAATCCCCAGCAAAAATTCCTTCAAACAGCTTTTAGGGCTCCAGGCAGCGCCTTGGTACCTGACCAGTGGTAGTTTGCCCCTGGCTTCCCTCGCTGTAGCCATGTAAGATGTGTCATAATTAATTCTACCTATATTATATACTTATTCTCTATTCAGACTCTCACATGGCTCAGCAAGTAGGCTCCAAGTCTATGGAGTCCAACAAATTATAGTCAGGGCACAGCCAGGGCTCAAAAGAGGAAGGGGGGAAGTCCTGCAAGACGATGCTTGCCGGCGGCTTGAACCCATGCCCCAGCGATGACCCCATACAAAATATGACAACGCAATGTGAGGTAATGGACGAGCCATCTCACACATGTCAGGTCACCGCGAATCCCGCTAATCTGGGGTCATTAGGCCACGAGACAAGGGCGTGGTATCCCAAGAGAGAACTCCTTTCTTCTCAGGTCATATTGTTCAAGAAGGCGAATTTAAGGAGTGGTTGGTAAATGACTCGGTTACATAAAGCACAGGTGGTATACGTCCTCATGGGGGGTGACCCCCGAACCTTGGAGTTAAGGAGGGTGCATGGAAGATCATATAAGCCCAAGGAAACAGCTAAGAGAGAATTCGGGAAGAGGTCTGGCCGGTGTGCAGAGCTCTGTAGAACTTGGGACCGAGGACTGACAGAGGGCAGTACCTGGCCGTGCGAGAGAGCCGGAGGCCCTAGTGGAGACTTTGGGCAAAGTGCTTACTTTGGGCAAAGTGCTTGCTGTGGGCCGTGCTCGTGTCGTGTGGGTCTTGGGTCCTGTGTCTAGAGGCTGCTTGAGTTCCTAGATGTGAACTGTTCTACCTACTTACCCTGTCCCAGTGTACGATCCCCATTTATCTTAATATCAAACCCATTTTCTCCTTTTCCCAAGCATATTGTACAAGAACTAAATAAAACTGTTTGAGTGGAATCGTGTATTCATTGTCCCCGCCTTCATCCTTGTTTGTATCTTCTTGTGTTATAATTATTATTATAATCATGGGGGACATCTAAACCTATAGGATTATACAGCGCATGTGGGGGAAGGTATTCAGGCTCAATTTAAGGAACTGGAGCACAGATCCAGTTCCTTAGATCAAGAACCCCTCACCAGCGTTAAGAAACCTCCCTTGAGGAGTATTGTGTTGTTAGGTAAGATAAGAGTGAGATGAGTGGTGTAATCCCCCCTGGATCACTCACTACCTGGTAAGGACGGCTAGTCTTCTACTCCTCTCCCTCCTTTCATTCCCTATATTACATGTCGTCTTCTATATCTCCCTAAATGACAACAATCTATATCTCCCTACATAGCAACAATGCCTGCATGAATATGACTTTCAGACGTAGAACCTAAATACTTCTTCTCTTATGCCAAATCTAAGGAAAAAACAATATTCAATATTGGTCCCTTGCTTAAACAAGATGGGACATACACAGATGACAGCCAAGAAATGAGTGAAATACTAAAGTCCCAATACGACTCAGTGCTCCGCTGCCCAGATTAAGGGTCGACAATCCAAATGAATTCTTTATGAGACTCAAAATTTGCTCATCTCAAAAATCTCTTGATATTATACTAACACCACAAGACTTTGAAAAGGCAATAAATGACATGCTCATGCACTCTGCCCCAGGCCCAGGCTCATGGAACTCCGTGTTCGTCAAGAACTGCCTTCAACATTCTATGGAGAGGGAGCATGGACACAGGGGTCAAACCACACTCACTAAAAACAACAGACATAGCCCCACTCTACAAAAGTGGCAGTAAAGCAATTGCAAAAAACTACAGACCGATAGCACTAACATTCCATACCGCAAAAATCTTTGAAAGGGTTCTAAGAAGCAAGATCGCCAACCACCTAGATACCCATCAGTTACACAACTCGGGGCAACACGGGTTTAGAACAGGTCGCTCCTGCCTGTCCCAGCTACTGGACCACTATGACAAGATCCTGGATGCTATAAAGGATAAACAAAATGCAGATGCAGTATACACAGACTTTGCAAAAGCTTTCGACAAGTGTGACCATGGTGTAATAGTGCACAAAATGAGTGATACAGGAATAACAGGAAAAGTTGGTAGATGGACCTATGACTTCCTGGCAAATAGAACACAAAGAGTAATAGTAAACAGAGTAAAGTCCGAGGCAGCTACAGTGAAAAGCTCTGTTCCACAAGGCACAGTACTCGCTCCCATCCTATTCCTCATCCTCATATCTGACATAGACAGAGATGTAAGCCACAGCTCCGTGTCTTCCTTGACGGATGACACCCGAATTGCCATGACAGTGACCTCCATCGAAGACACTGCAAGACTCCAAGGGGACATCACTCAAACCTTCAAATGGGTCACTCAAAACAATATGAAGTTCAAGAGAAGAGAAATTTCAACTACTCAGATATGGATAGCTTGAAGAAATTAAAACTGTATCGGGGTATACAACAAATTCTAACCATACAATAGACTCATAGAGCGAAAAAGTAAAGTGAAGGACCTGGGAGTGAGAATGTCAGAGGATCTCGCTTTCAAAGACCACAACAATGTATCTACCACATCTGCTAGGAAAATGATAAAATGCATAATGAGAACCTTCAAAACTAGGGATGGCAAGCCCATGATGATTCTCTTCAAATCGCTTGTTCTCTCTGGGCTGAAATACTGCTGTACACTAACTGCCCCCTTCAAGGCAGGTGAAATTGCTTACCTGGAGAGTGCACAAAGAACTTTCACGGCACACATAAGTACGATAAGGCACCTAAATTACTAGGAACGGTTGAAGTCCCTTGATTTGTATTCCCTGGAGCGCAGGCGAGAGATTAGCATGATAATATACACTTTGAAAATCCTAGAGGGACAAGTACTAAACTTGCACACGAAAATCACTCCCTATGAAAGCAAAAGACTCGGCAGGAGATGCAACATTCTCCCAAAGAAAAGCAGGGGCGCCACGCGTACACTGAGAGACAACACAATAAGTGTGAGGGGCCCAAGACTGTTCAAGTGCCTACCAGCATACATAAGGGCAATTACCAATAGACCCCTGGCTGTCTTCAAGAAGGCACTGGACAGGCACCTAAAGTCAGTACCTGACCAGCCGGGCTAAGGTAAGTTAAGATAAGATTTCGTTAGGATTTTTAACCCCGGAGGGTTAGCCACCCAGGATAACCCAAGAAAGTCAGTGCGTCATCGAGGACTGTAACTTATTTCCATTGGGGTCCTTAATCTTGTCCCCCAGGATGCGACCCACACCAATCGACTAACACCCAGGTACCTATTTGCTGCTAGGTGAACAGGACAACAGGTGAAAGGAAACGTGTCGAAATGTTTCCACCCGCCGGGAATCGAACCCGGGCCCTCCGTGTGTGAAGCGGGAGCTTTAGCCACCAGGCCACCGGGCCACACCGGGCTGTGGTTCGTACGTCAGTTTGCATGCTCCCAGCAGTAACAGCCTGGTTGATGAGACCCTGATCCACCACGAGGCCTGGACTCAGACCGAGCCGCGGGGGCAATGACCCCCGAAACCCTCTCCAGGTATACTCCAGTTACGGTCGTCAGGTACAGAGACTATCAGCAACATGCAACTATCATACTCCAGTTTCTTGTACTATTCATCAAAATATACAAGCTTAAAAATAGTACGATACGCTCTACACTGCCAGACGTAAACCAACCTTGTTTTTAATTTCATTATTGTCTGGCAATTATACGGAAATAAAATGAGAATAACTAACATTAAAATTTCTGAACCATTTCGATAGCTTTGAAATGTGTGAAGGGCAATTTGGCAAGTACTGTACTCTAATTGGTAATAAGTTGCTCAGGATAATGACCCTTCAAACATTTTAACACTCATTGTATCTTTCCATAGAGATGAGTGGAAAGCAAGCAATAAGGACCTACAACGAGACATAGAGGAGTTACAGCAGCTTGTACGATCATTAACTAAGAATGCCAATGACATCCACTATGAGTGTACCAAACCCCGTGAAGCAGCCATGACCATCGACCCTTCTGTCGTGAGTTATGCTCTCTCATTACAGTTGTATTATTTCCAATAATATTAGTAATCAATTATTATTAATTGTTGTTATACTGCTACTGTAGAGTACCAGTAGTAGCTATTTTGTAGTTATTGTTAGTGGTGGTGAGTGTGGTAGTAATAGTACACCAATAATAACAAAAGAAACAGCATTAACCCTGGCAGTTAACAGCGTACGTATATGTATCTATACATATATGTACGTCGTGCCGAATAGGTAAAAACTTACGATTTTGGCTTAAATAGCAACACTCTTCTTACCGAGTAAGGCAAGTGAAAATTTGTGTATACAATAATTTCGCAAAAATCATTCTAAACCCAACGAAAAAATATATTTCATTGTGTTTGTTAATTATTAAATTATATTATAAACTTATCTTAAATATATTAAGTTGGATTAGGCTAAATTAAACTGCTTGTTATAATAAGGATAGGTAAGTTTTCTAAAGTTCTTTTGGTACAAAATTATTAATTTTTACATTAACATAAATGAAAAAAATATATCTTTAAAAGTAGAGAAAATTTAAAAAAAGAACTTAAATTTAAATGAGTTCTTGCTAACTGACCAGTTTTACATATTCGGCACGACATATATATATATATATATATATATATATATATATATATATATATATATATATATATATATATATATATATATATATATATATATATATATATATATATGTATGTCGTGCCGAATATGTAAAACTGGTCAGTTAGCAAGAACTCATTTAAAATTAAGTCCTTTCTGAAATTTTCTCTTATACGTTTAAATATATATTTTTTCATTAATGTTGATGTAAAAATTTTTAATTTTGCACCAAAAGGAACTTAGAAAACTTACTTAACCTTATTATAACAAGCGCAATTTATTTTAGCCTAACCCAACTAAATATATTTTAAATTTGTTTACAATAATTTAATACTAAACAAACACAATGAAATATATTTTTTTCGTTAGGTTCAGAATGATTTTGGCGAAATTATTGCATACACAAATTTTCACTTGCCCTATATGGCAGGATGAACGTTGCTATTTAAGCCAAGATGGCAAGTTCTGCCTATTCGGCACGACATATATATATAAAACGTCGGCCGTTTCCCACCGAGGCAGGGTGACCCAAAAAGATAGAAAAAACTTTCAGCATTCAACATTTTCACCAAATCCAGGAGAGTGGTGGAACACCTGGAATGGAACAAAATTATAAACGACAACCAGCACGGATTCATGGAAGGCAAATCCTGTGTCACAAACCTTCTGGAGTTTTATGATAAAGTAACAGAAGTAAGACACGAGACAGAGGGGTGGGTTGATTGCACTTTCTTGGGCTGCAAGGCCTTCGACACAGTTCCTCACAAGAGATTAGTGGAGAAACTAGAGGATCAGGCACGTATAATGGAAAGGGCACTGCAATGGATCAAAGAATATCTGACAGGGAGGCAACAACGAGTCATGATACGTAATGAGGTATCACAGTGGGCACCTGTGAAGAGCAGGGTCCCACAGGGGTCGGTCCAAGGACCAGTGCTATTTTTGGTATATGTGAATGACATGACATGATGGAAAGGATAGATTCAGACGTGTCCCTATTCGTAGATGTTGAAGTTAATGAGGAGAATTAAATCAGAAGAGGATCAGGCAGGACTTCAAAGCGACCTAGACACACTGGACACCTGGTCCAGCAACTGGCTTCTCGAATTTAACCCTGCCAAATGCAAAGTCATGAAGATTAGAAAAGGGCAAAGAAGACCGCAGACAGAGTATAGACTAGGTGGCCAAAAACTGCAAACCTCGCTCAAGGAGAAAGATCTTGGGGTAAGTATAGCACCGAGTATGTCTCCGGCAGCACACATCACCCAGATAACTGCTGCAGCATATGGGCGTCTGGTAAACTTGAGATTAGCGTTCCAATACCTAAGTAAAGAATCTTTCAAGACACTGTACACCGTGTACGTCAGGCCCATACTGGAGTATGCAGCACCAGTTTGGAACTCACATCGGATCAAGCACGTTAAGAAATTAGAGAAAGTGCAAAGGTTTGCGACAAGGTTAGTTCCAGAGCTAAGGGGAATATCCTACAAAGAAAGGTTAAGGGAAATCGGCCTGACGACACTGAAGGACAGGAGGGTTAGGGGAGACATAATAATGACATACAAAATATTGCGTGGAGTAGATAAGGTGGACAGAGACAGGATGTTCCAGAGAGAGGACACAGAAACAAGGGGTCACTCTTGGAAGTTGAAGACTCAGACGGGTCACAGGGATGTTAGGAAGTATTTTTTCAGTCATAGAGTTGTCAGGAAGTGGAACAGTCTGGCGAGTGATGTAATGGAGGCAGTAACCATACATAGCTTTAAGACGAGGTATGGTAAAGCTCATGGATCAGGGAGAGAGAGGACCTAATAGCGTTCAGTGAAGAGGCGGGGCCAGGAGCTATAAATCGACCCCTGCAACCACAAGTAGGTGAGTACACACACACACACACCTAGCTAAACCCGTAAATAAACTAGAGAAAGTGCAAAGTTTTTCAGCAAAACTAGTCCCAGAGCTAAGAGGTATGTCCTACGAGGAGAGGCTAAGGCAAATCGACCTGACGACACTAGAGGACATGATAACGACATATAAAATACTAAGAGGAATTGACAAGGTGGACAGAGACAGAATGTTCCAGAGATGGGACACAGCAACAAGGGGACACAGTTGGAAGTTGAAGACTCGGATGAATCACAGGGATGTTAGGAAGTATTTCTTCAGTCACAGAGTAGTCAGGAAGTGAAATAGTTTGGGAAGCGATGTAGTGGAGGCAGGATCCATTCATAGCTTTAAGCAGAGGTATGATAAAGCTCATGGTGCAGGGAGAGTGACCCAATAGCGGCCAGTGAAGAGGTGGGGCCAGGAGCTGTAAATCAACCCCTGTAACCACAACTAGATGAGTACAGCACCAATTTGGAGTCCACACCTGGTCAAGCACGTCAAGAAATTAGAGAAGGTGAAAATGATTGCAACAAGGCTAGTCCCAGAGCTAAGGGGAATGTCCTACGAAGAAAGGTTAAGGGAAATCGGCCCGACGACACTGGAGGACAGAAGGGTTAGGGGAGACATGATAACGACATATAAAAATACTGCGTGGAATATATAAGGCAGACAGAGACAGGATGTTCCAGAGATTGGACACAGAAACAAGGGGTCACAATTGGAAGTTGAAGACTCAGATAAGTCAAAGGGATGTTAGGAAGTATTTCTTCAATCATAAAGTTGTCAGGAAGTGGAACAGTCTAGCAAGTGATGTAGTGGAGGCAAGAACTATACACAGCTTTAAGACAAGGTATGATAAAGCTCATGGAGCAGAGAGAGGACCTAGTACCGATCAGTGAATTATTATTATTATAATCAAGGGGGAAGCGCTAAACCCGGAGGATTATACAGCGCCTGGGGGGGGGGGATGTGGAAGGCATCCAGGCTTAATTCGGGGAACTGGAGCACAGATCCAATTCCCTAAATCAAGAGCCCCTCACCAACATCAAGGAACCTTCCTTGAGGGGACCGATCAGTGAAGAGGCGGGGCCAGGAGCTGAGTCTCGACCCCTGCAACCACAATGTGAGTACAGTCAGGTGAGTGCACACACACAGAGTTTACTTAAATCTTTGTTAGAAATTATTCTTATTAATATACAGTTTTAAACCTAACAGACTTACATTGTAGTGTACATCCCATGCTTATCCAGCGATTTAAGTTAACATGTTGATTGGGGCCATGAAGGGGTTTTAGGTTTTATTAAACTCAACTTCACGTGTGTGTGTGTGTGTGTATATATGCACGCACATGCATATGTATACATTTGCATATGTACATGTTTATATCTGTACTCGTAACGTCACAAGGTAATAAAAATAAAAATAACTCTGAATGTCGCATTTTTAAAGAACAGTGCTGTGTGGACGTTTTTATACTGAATCAAATTATAAAGAACTGTGTTTAATATGCAATGAGACTAATTTAAACTTGGTTATCCTATTACATTTTTTATGTGCACAATTTGATGAAAATGCACCAATCATGCTAGGGTCATATTGTACAGCGAAGTGGAGCAAAACATAAATAACCCGCACACAGGGGAGAGAATCCTATGACCACATTTTAGTCCAACATTGACCATTAACTGTGTGACTAGTTATTATTATTATTATAATCAAGGGGGAAGAGCTAAACCCGGAGGATTATACAGCGCCTAGGGGGGGATGTGGAAGGCATTCAGGCTTAATTTGGGGAACTGGAGCACAGATCCAATTCCCTAAATCAAGAGCCCCTCACCAACATCAAGGAACCTTCCTTGAGGGGTGTGACTAGTTAATGGTCCAAATCAGAGTGAAATGTCATCATAAGTTTCTTTCTCCTAGTGTGTAAATTAATTGGGACAGGAGTAAATTTTGTAAGTATCTCAATATGTCTTAGTTTCCGGCTTAATTAATGCAGTTTGTCTTTTCTTTTTGTAAGAGTTTGCTACTAACTTCTAGAAAGCAACCATACAGTTGTGGTGTTACCCTTTGACTCTTGTCAGCACTACAACTGTTTGTTTGGTAAAAGGACACAAGAGCAACTAATGTGACATTTCATTGTGGAAACGTTTCGCTCTCCAGGAGCTTTGTCAAGGAGTTACAAACAATACATGGACACAGAGGGTATATATAGGCTAAGAGTGGGGTATAATACTAGTGGTAGAGGTAATAGTAATATTAGTTGTAGTATTAGTAATACAATATGGTAGAATAATCAACTTATACACGAGTAAAAGGTTATAAAAGCTATTACTCGGGTAGCATAAAAATAGGTTAGACAAATATTTCTGTTGGTGGCTGGATTTGAGAAGGTCTGTTTTAGTGTACCTTCTCTGTTATGTTCTTGTGTAGTATTAGCAGCAGAAACTACGTGATGGCAGGGTTTACTGTTTTGAGAAGGATTTTTGCTAATACTT